CTTTCGCATGATATCAAGAATTATTCAGACCTCGGTCTATGTTATCCGCCTCAGCTTCGCTTCGGCAGATAACATTGACCTCGGTCTGAATAATTCTTGATATCATGCTCAGCCTCATCCAATAATTGCTTATTATAATTATTATTATTTGGTTAAATATTCCACTTGAATGAGAAATTTATTTTAAATTAAAGGATTCTTAGGATCGGATAGGAATTCTTTATCACTCGGATTGGATTTGGGTTAGACAATTTCGGATCGGATTTTAAACAATTTGGCCAATTTGTCGGATTATAAACATCCAATCTGATCCGATGCACACCTCCAGTAAATAATCAGTTTAATTATAGCACGAACAAGATAAATTGAAGGTAATTAGTAATTTTGGTATTGCATCTATGGTGACACTCTGCTTGTGATTTGATTTTCATTTTCTTAATAGAATGAAGAAGATATTAAGGAACTTAGCTTGAAGGTAATTGCTACAATATGGTACGATATATGTATGCTATTAGACTGCAGAGATTAGGCAAGCATTAAATTGCTTCTATGGTGAAAAAAATAATATGCAGTAGTTGGGAATTTATATTCCACAGTATGTGTGTTTGACTTATTTGTTTGTCTAATTTGCATATTTCTAAATTAATTATAGCACGAACAAGATAAATTGAAGGTAACTAGTAATTTTGGTATTGCATGTATGGTGACACTCTGCTTGTGATTTACTGACTTTCCACTGTATTGAATCTATTTTACATCTGTTTGACTTTATACTTTAATTTTAATTTTCTTAATAGCATGAAGAAGATATTAAGGAACTTAAATTGAAGGTAATTGCTACAATATGGTACAATATATGTATGCTATTAGGCTGCTGAGGTTAGGTAGCCATTAAAATGCTTCTATGGTGAAAAAATTAATACAGTTGGGAATTTATATTCCACGGTATGTGTGTTTGACTTATTTGTTTGTCTAATTTGCATATTTCTGAATTAATTATAGCATGAACAAGATAAATTGAAGGTAATTAGTAATTTTGACATTGCTTCTATGGTAACAATATGCTTGTGATTTATATTCTAGTATTCTACTGTATTGAATCTATTTTACATCTGTTTCACTTTATATTTTAATTAATAGCATGAAGAAGATACTGAGGAACTTAAATTAAAAGTAATTGCTACAATGTGACCAGTACGATATATGTATGCTTTTAGGCTGCAGAAATTAGGCAGCCATTTGAACGACGCTACCTTCACAGTCTAAGAGGCTACAATATGCGCTTTACAAATTTTGAATTAAGAATTCTGGAGTTACAGATCAACTCCAAAGTGGAGTGGAGCTAATTAACTATCATCTAAACTTGTTGTAAATTAATGGCTATCAACCCCGGGGATAGTCAGAAAGTAGTGCTGAATTAATTGAGCCAAATTCAAAAGCTATTGGGGCTGGATCTGCCTGAGTCATACATCATTTGGAGTTTGATTTCAGGATCCATTTTCGTTTTCAGAACTAGATTTGGTTTTGCTTGGTGGACTCTAGACTTCCCTAGACTATCCCGGCCATTATTACCTCCTTTCAAAGATTGGCTACCTGCAAAAAAAATAAAATCTACAAACATATTACAGTATAAAACATATTACATATTTACATTATACAGTAATCGAGATATTTGCTCATGCCTATATACAGTACATGTACACATACACTGATACACATACAGTACAACAAATTTTTGTTTACATGTTAAGTGCGACTTATTGAAATTAATATTCTTACCATAAAATTTAATGTTGCAGTATGAAAATGAGTTGAAGGCTGTCAAGTCAAAGGTAATCATTTTAAGTTTTATTCAAAAGTAAATATCTGTAATTATGTTTTTAAGCCTTAGCATTTTTCACCCCTAATTCAGCTGTGCTTTACGTAATGCCTGATTATTGGTCCGAAACCATGTTTTAGATGAGGTATACACTATGTCAGAGTGTATAAGTGCTCTAAGCATATCCAGCGGATGGCAAATGATCTAATTTAATTGCTCTAGCACGATGAAGATGTGAAGCTTCTTGGGCAAAAAATCGAAGTGTTACAGGCCACTGGAGCTGCGCATGCTCCGCCGGCAACGCAGTTCCCGCAACGACCTCAACAAGAACCTGAACCAGATTACACTTGGAAGATAGCAAACTTTACAAGAAAGCTTGCTCAAGCAAAATCTGACCATGACAGTGGCATAATTCAAAGTGGACCTTTTTTCTCACGTCATGGTTACAAAATGAAGCTTCAGGTCCAATTAAATGAATCGCCATCTGGTTATGCAGGCTACACGGGTGTTTACTTAATATTGATGAAAAGTGATCGAGATGGAGCTTTACAGTGGCCTTTCACAAAGCGTTTCACAGTTATTCTTGTTGATCAACAAGATGACCTTAGCCAAAGACAAAACATTAAGGTCGCAATAGTTACAGTAGGAGAGAACACTTTCCAAAGACCTAGAGAGCACAAAAATACCGGTGGGGGATATCGTCAGTTTGTTAAACACTCCACTCTACGTACTCGTCAATACATTAGAGACGATGCTGTATACATCAAGATCATGGTAGATCCATGAAAAATATAACCATAATTATATTTGGCGTGGGTGATTACCTACTGTAGTAGTACTCTATATAATCTAGACATTCGCGTGCTTAAAATAGTTTGCATTTGGGAGCACAGTAATTGGCCAAAAGCTGTTGTAATTCCCGGTCACAATTTGTAATGTTATATATTTTATTATTAGTATTTTGTTATGTAATTTAAAGGTTGTGACAAAGCTTCTAAAATTAAAAAATTAAATAGTCCTGGTATTCGTCTGAATATAGTATTGTGCAGACACCTATTTTCAGCTCCGGCTGCATGGTTCACAAGACAGGGGATACAATCTATAACCGAGTAATAAATAGTTACTAGGTGAGGTTTTTGTGATGTCAAAAGTTATTAAGGTTGAGGTAAGTGTTATCTCGAAAGTGATTGATAACACTTCCCGAGACCTTGATCAAATCGAATTCGATGTTTATTATACATTGCATTTTCATTGATTACTCTTTCGACAAGCAATGACTAGAAGTTTGTCGCACGAATTAACCAACGTTTGGTTCTCAAAAAAAGCAGTAAAAACGATTTAAAATATCACAATAACATGCAGCATAAAATATTATAAATCTCATTTGCCCTCTAAAGTTCCGATAAAAATGTCAAAAAGGTCGGCTTTTTTCTTGTTTTTACTTGTGCATTTAACTGCCGCTTGCTATAAAATTACACACCTTAGCTTTTCTTTTTGTTGTTGCTCATATTTCAGTGTGAAAACGACTTGAAGCAAGTCCAGGTAAAGGTAAGTTAAGTTTTTTTCCAGTTAGGATATTGATTTTACCACAACTTCATATATTGTAGTAATTATAAAATTACAAACCTTTTCTTTTTCATTGTTGCTTATATTTAGTGTGAAAACGACGTGAAGCAAGTCCAATCAAAGGTAAGTTAAGGGGTTTTTTCCAGTTAGGATATCAGTACTGGCACTGCACGACATGGCCATACTTGGACATAAATAACTAGAAGGCTAGCCACTTATATGATATACTCTCCGACATCCAGTCCAATATCTCGCCTCAGAATCGTCGCAGAGCAATAAATTTCACATCGTCTAATAGCACGAACGTTCCTCTTTCGAAAGAACTTGGTTTCTTCACCATTGCGGCAATTCCCGCGACACACGACGAACTTTGTCAAAAGTCCAAATTTCCATTTTCGACAGAGCCGCTAACCCCATGATCGTCGCCACGAGAGCTGCTCAGCAACCTGGCCTCCTCGTTTGAAAACATCCATCAGGGGGGAGGAGCTGGACTGGAATGAAGGGGCTTTCAAAGCAACACGATAAAACACACGATATAAATAGAAATTATTGTTTATTGTCGAATACAGCATGATAAAGTAATAATTTCTATTTATATCGTGTGTTTTATCGTGTTGCTTTGAAACCCCCTCATTCCAGTCCAGCTCCTCCCCCCCCCC